ATCACTTCTCATAAAACAAAATCTCCCACTCTCCAGGCAACTTCAAATTTGACACGTTGCACGTTGGCTCCAATCACCAGCATTATTACGTCCATTACTTCATCGTCTACAACGAATGAAACTATGAATAACAGTAATACCATGTTCCCTATTGTTTCCTGTCAATCTAGCGCATCTTCCAATGGTAAAAATAAACGCGGCAGAAAGCCCTTACCAGCAATGCCTTCTGGAAAGAGGCATTTCAAAAATTTTGTCAACCAACACGCATTCCGTGAACGTAAAAAAACTTATGTCCGTGATTTGGAAACTAAAGCTTCAAAATTCGAAGCATTGTATACTGAATCTTTAACTGAGATTAAATCATTGAAAGAAAAAGTCGCGTTTTTAGAAAAACTCCTTGCAAGTAGAATATGAATGGTGCGGTTGATGGTTAAATGGTCGAAGATAATCATCCCAATGAAAATCGATTACCTTAGGAAATCTACAAACGCAAAGAAAACGTGTCATATACGATGTCCACTGTCTCAGAGCAATATTCAAGCTATCCTTCAACATCTGGGAACTGTAACTTGTTAGAGCTAGAATAATGGAAATTCGTTTTATAAAGTATTGTTACCCGAGTTTTTTTATATTTAGTTTATAATAAAAATTTTATCTACACGTAAATAAGACATAGCGATAGTTAAATTTTTATAATCAAAGCTGTCTAAAATTTTGTTGGATGATATAAACGTTGGAGATCAAGTGAGATCAAGTGTTACACAAACTTTTATCAGAAGCCATTTTGATAATATTAATACATATATATGCATAGTATGATATTATAAATGAGTTTTTTTTAGTTTTTAAAGCGAAGTAACTAATAAAGTCGATTTCTTTTTTCAAATTTCACGTGAGCAAGATAAAAAATAATTAAAAAATTAATCATTTTACAAATTTTACGAAATGCTAAAAAAGTATCGGCGTGTTAATTTTTAATTTTGGCCGATCAGAATTTGTGTAGATTAGCCAATAAAACAAACTTCCATTATGCTGTTAGAGCTAATAACGATAGATTATTTTTACCGACTGATCAACAAAAATTTGATTGGAGATCAGTTGGCGAATAGAACAATAGAACAAAAGCTCAATTTTTGTCTTTATATAAAACAATATTTTTTTTATTAATAATTTTAATTATTCAAATATGTATTGTTAGAGCATTAGTAAAGTAAAAATTTTAATAAAAATTTACAACAAAAAAATAAAAAAAATGAATAGAATTGTATGCCAATAGAAACCCTAAACATAACGTTTCTTTGTACATCTTGACAGAGACGATGATATTGTTACACCCGAAACTACCTCTTAAAAGTTCGGTATAACGTTTTACGGGTAAGTTAAGTAATTAAACAA